TACACACACTATCTATCTATCTATCTATCTATCTATCTATCTATCTATCTATCTATCTATCTATCTATCTATCTATCTATCTATCTATCTATCTATCTAGGTAGCTAGATAGCTAGGTAGCAATGGGGTGTGTTTGTATGCGTGTTTATGTGTGTGTGTGTGAGTGTGTGTGTGTATGTGCGTGTGTGTGTTTGTGTGTGTGCGTGTATGCGAGAGAGATAGAGAGAAAGAATGAGAGAGGGGAGAGAGAGAGGGAGGCAGGGAGGGAGGGAGGGAGAGAGACAGACAGACAGACAGGCAGACAGACAGACAGACAGACAGACAGAGAGGAGAGAAATAAGAAAGAGAACGTGCAAGAGACAGACTGCAGACAGGCAGACAGATAGTCAGACAGACAGACAGACACAAAGAAAGACAGATAACAAACCCCCCCACGGGAATATAACTCCCCCCCCCCACCGCATAGGCATGCTGAAGAGGCCCCAAAAATCGTCCACTCTTCTTCCTGTAGCACTTTCCTCCTGTCTTCTTTTCTTTCACTTTTTTCACCCTTCATCCCCTACCACTCTCTTTTTTCCGACCTTCTTCCACTCCTCTCTCCCCTCCCCCCTCCCCCCTCCCATCGACAGTCTTCACCTTCTGACCGACTTGCGTCCTCTCCTCTAGAGTGTGCGTAGAGGATGTGGGGGGAAATGGTGGAGGAGGAGAATTCTTGCGCCCAACCACTGACCAAAACGTATCATTATTTCCTACGTAACGTCTTCATCGATAAGGAGAAAACGAGGGGGAATAACCCTGTTATCTCACGGTGAAATGAGTTCCGGTTACTTCCGCTTGGCAGGAGACTACTTCCGCCTGGCTGCCCTACATGCGTAGACAGAGTGGAGAGCCTCATAGAAACGCTGCTCTAAGACTAGGAGATACAAGTTGAGGATGAAAAAAAGAAATAGCGTCTTTGACAAAAAGGATGGAAATGAGAGTAGGAAAAATGTGTGTTTTTTCTGTACTTTTATTTTGGATAAGATAGATAGATAGATAGATAGATAGATAGATAGATAGATAGATAGATAGATAGA